TAAGGAGCAGTCTTTTTCTCCCACCATCCATCCAGATGCCTGAACAGTAGGTGTGGCGGCTGGGAGCTCCAGTGACCCTGTAAACTAAGCTCACTGCCATTGAGCTGATTCCACCTCAGAGCAGTCCTATAGGACAGGAAATGGCTCCTTAAGGTTTCGGAGGGTGTAAATCTTGATAGGAGCAGACAGTTTCATTTTCCTCCCACAAAAAGCTGGCATGTTTGAACTACTGACCTTTCAGTTAGCAGCCTACCACCAGGTCTCCTTAGCAACCCACCCCCCCCACCCCCCCACTGCCACCGAGTGGGTTGCAATTCCGAGAGATCGCATACAAGATTCCCATGGCTGTCAATGGATGCGGGTAGTAGAGTGGGTTATGTGTTGGGCTGACTACTAACCACGAGGGAAATCATTGGAACTTACCTAATCAATTGGAGGAAGAAAAATGATGCTATCTGCTCCCAAGAAGGACTTACAGCCATGGAAATCCACACGGACAGTTATATTCTGTCCACAGGGCCTCGATGGCAGTGGGTGTGAGGGCTTTGGTTTCTTTGTTTGTTTGTTTGTTTGTTTTGGGTTAAATCTTTCCAGAAGCAGATAGCTCGTCTTTCTCCCTGGGAACAGCTGGTGGGTTTGAACAGTCAACCTTGTGGAGAACTGGACAAAACCCAAGGGCTCCTTTAATAACCCTATAAAAACCAAAACCCAGAGTCACTACCATCAGGTTGATTCTGGCTCACAGAGACCCTGTAGAGCAGGGTAGAACTGCCCCTGTGGGTTTCTGAGACTGTAACTCTTTACAGTCGTAGAAAGTCTCATCTTTCTCCCATGGAGGGGGAAGGGATTTCAAACTGCTGACCTTGTGGTTAGAAATTCAACAATAAAATTAAAGAGTGCACACTATGGTAGATACATAGGAATGGATCTGGAAAGATTCAGAATCCCTGATGACTTTGCATAGTATATAAATATGCTATACCTTACTACTTACCTAAAACTTCCAAGAGGGCACCCTCTCTTGAATTTATTGCAATCTGCTATGTATATATAGTTGAACCTACAGTAAAATATGCACTATCAAAAAAAAAAAAACTTTGCATGCCCTACGTGGTCCAAGCAGTACTAAATTAAAACTTAATTTATGAGAGAACAAAGATATTAAGCTATGTACTCGTATTCTGAATAACCTTTAAAAGGATTCCATCCAAATTCTATGGAGTGTCGAAAACCCACATCTTTATATTTGTATTTAAGCAGTGAGATTAATGGTCGACATCACATAATAAAAATGCAAAAAACTATGATATAGAACAGACCCTGGATCACTCATCTCTTTGCAATCAAGAGTTGGTTTGAGTGAAACTATTGTTCTGAGAAAATCTTTAAATCTTAACCCAAAAATATCTCCTGAGGTCTTCTTAAAACCTTAAGGGTTCAGCTGAACCACTAAAGAATGTCTATTTATAGGGGATCAAATTGACAACAGCAATTTGAAAGATTAGAAGGCAAATTTAAGGAGCAGTGAATTTATGCTAATAGTGGGAGAGACAATCAAAAAGTGTAAGAATGTCGCATGATTCAAAGAATATCATCAGTGTTTCTGGTTTGTCACTCATTCACTGCCAGAGTCAATTCTGACTCAGCAATGCTAATCGAATGCCCCTTTGGGTTTCAGACGCTGTAAAGCTGTATGGGACCAGAGAGCCTCATCTTTCTCCTGAGGAGGAGCTGGTAAGTTCGAACTGCCCACCTTGAGGTTAGTATCCCAATACCCAGCCTCCAGGGCCACCTGGGCTCTTTGTACATGTAGAAATTGTTGAATTAGTGGATGTTCTGCTGTGCATACTCTCATAAAAAAAAAGTAAGTTATATTTGTTAAAAAGAGTGGACTTGGGTCCAGGATATCAATGAAGGAATATGAAACATAGATTACCAATGTATGGCTTAGGAGCCAAATTTGGCTAACAGATATATTTTGTTTGGCTTATACAATGCTTTCGGAACACTTTACGTCTGAATGCCTTGAAGTGAGTATTCCCCTTGCGTTTTCCATAGGTCCACTCATTGATGTCCAAGCCATCACTTTCTCCACTTGTTATGCTGGCGGCCTGTCCTCTGAACACACTGAAGTTCAGAGGGTTTGGGGAATGAAATGTTAGATTTAGGTTTCCTTCCATTCTCACCTTGAGTTCCACACAATGAATCATGTCCAAGGTTGTTTTCAAATATTAACCATCTCCACTTTGTGTAATAAGAATGGATGTAGATTGAGAAGTTCTAGACCTGTGTTAAGGAATCACTACGATAAATGCACTAGCAATCTCTCTTCAAAAACAAACAAACAAAAAAGCAGATGAGGAATCTTCCGAAGTCCCTCCCCCTCCCTGCCATTGCTCCCCAATCGCACACACTAAAAACCTAACCCTGGAAATATTGACTTCGTCATCTCAGTGCCTTTGATTTCTGTTGCTTAATAGTGTCACTAAAGTTATCACAACTTCCAAACTTTCTCTTTGCATTTCCTGATAACTTTAAAATGTCAGTTCTTAAAGTGAGAAGTCATCAGGATTTTGTTTTAAAGCATCTAACACTTAATGTATTTACCTTATCTCATTTTTATAGCTATCTCTGTGAGGTAGTAACTATGTTTATGTTCTTCATTTATGATAAATAAATAAATTCAAATAGAAAGAACACATCCTTTATATAATCAAAGAAAATGCAGAAATATGTACTTACATGTGATAACAGGTCTCTGCATTCCCAAGGGGACATAGGTGTACATATAGTGCATACAATATTATATGGCTTACACATAGGTAATGAATGTAGTTTAACTAAAATTTGAAAATCATATTAGTTTTGCATATGTAAATTAGACATTTTCTTTTATTATAACATTTGCTGCAGCCAAACTAAAAATCACAGGGTGTTTCTAAATTCTTAAACTTGTTGCATGATTAAACAGGCCTTATAAAATATTACCAAGTGCCCATACAGTACAAGCTTAAGGATATATAAAAGTATCTGATTACCTCTGAATATACTGGATTCTGAACTTCTTTCCCTTATATTTTTAATTTGAGCCATACTACTTTGTTTTTCTATTTCATTTGTGTCACATATATCCTCTCAGATTGAGTAATAAAGTCGAGGAATGTATTTTTCACAAAACATATGCAAGCAATTATACTTTTTCTGTAAAATGTGTTGCTTGGAATTCCAGTTTCTAAGCCACTTGATTGTACTGAGGGGAGAGGAGTTGGCTTGAGATCGGAGACATTTTGCATTAAGGACCACATTCCTGACAGTTGTGCAAAATAGTATTGAGGGAAATGAAACTCTTCTCCTTTTATTGGAAACACCTACAGAGTAATTATAACTATGTGATGAGTCTTCTAACATGTGGCAAATTTCATATACTCTAGTAAACATCCATTTCATTTATTCACATTTTCAACTTTTTCACACCTTATAAAAGCAAGCTGATAATTACAAAATAAATTAACAAGGAAAATTCTATTCATTAAGTTTTAAGTTAAACTTGTTTTTTGTTGTTATAAAGAAGAGGAATCTGCTGTAGCTTATTTATAATTAGATTCTCTATTTCTATTGTAATTTTTCTGTATTTTAATACACTTTCCTGACTTCTACTTTCTATTTACGTGTATTCTCTGCCCTTCCCAACAATGCCTGTGTCCATGCCATTACAAAGACAAAGTCTTTTTTTTTTACACTGTTTATTAATTCCCTCGATTTTTAAAATACAAAAAGTAACATAAAAGGTTACAGGACTATATGAAGTGCCCCCTCTAGGGAACTACTGACAGAGTGCTGGCTATTCTTCCCCAGTTTCCAAAATCACTCTTTAAACGTTTCTCAGAATGTGTGGACTCCAGAATAATCTTATGAAGATCCTTAGAGCAAAGACACAGAGACGGGTAGTAAAACGCACACACTTATGGAAGACAGTACCAGCAAAGCTTAACAAATGTTAAGTTTTAAAAGCTTGAAGCTGATGTCAGATAGTTTTGAAAATCCATAATGGCCTATTACATAAGAGTACTTGTCTGTATTTCAAAGTTCAGCCCTCCCAAAAAAGTAAGGGTTTAATAGCTGCTTGAAATCGTTTCAATGTTCGCTTATATTCTGGATTAGCCATGCATTTTTGCTCAGCCATACCATATTGCCCAACCCTAATATATGCAAATTACGCAGGAAAAAAACTGGTAACCCAGGCAAGATTCTTCTTTAAAAAGAGAAGTAAAGCTTGTGTTTAATGCCTCTACAATCAATTACTCTGTGCCCGAAAAGTTGTATGTAGGGCATGCTGATGTCCTGCCTTGGGCATCCAACCAGAACCCACCACTGTCCTGAGAAGTCAGTGCGTTGGGTGGGAAAACACCACTGTTGAGAAATCTGCTCCCACCAGGGTCTGCCGTGGGGAAATGGCTAACGTCGGCCCCTCGGGCAGCCGGCGCAACGTGAAGGTCACCGGGAGAGAGATGTGAACGTCTGCTCAGGCGAAGAACGATGCCCCCAGAGACAAAGGAAAATCAGAGTTATCAGAGCGGCTGCAGGGGGGTTTCCGAACAAAGAATTGCACGGAGCAGCTGAAGTTCCATACCAAAAAAAAGGCTCCACCCTGCTCAGATTCAAGGCCACTTTCCCTCCCTCTGCAACCTCAAGCCCCAGGGCAAAACTGCTCTGCTCGGAAGAAAAGAGCCTCTGGGCTCCTCGCAAGCCCTCTCTGTCCGTCCGTAAGCCGCCGGGGCTCCACAGCCGGCGCAGGGACGCCTCCTAAACTGCCCGCACGACTCTGCCGCGGGCTGCTTCCCCGGGCCGGGGGCGGCGGGGCGACGGCCGAGCGCCCCGCGTCCCGGGGCAGATCCGCCCGCCCCCCTCGCCGCTCCCAGCCCGGCCCTCCGGCCCGCTTTCCCGAAGCTTCACCTCCCTGCCCTCGCCCCCCGTGCGCGCGACGCGAACGGCCAACTCACCAGCCTCGTCGTCTTCCTGGGCTCGGGCTGAGACAGCTCGCCCTAGGAAAACAGTCAGAATGAGGAGGGGGCTTGCTGCCACCCAGTGTGCCATCGCGTCTAACTGTCAGACACGCGGGTCCCGAGAGCGAAGGGGCGACCCTGAGGCTCGGGCAGCACCATGCAGCCCGCCGGGCTCTTCTTTCAGCACCAGCTCGGGCAGCAGACGCGCGAGCCCTCCCTCCGGGCTGCAGCTCCAGCTCCGTCTGCGGAAACTTGTTTCCAGCGATGCAGCTTTTAAATAGGCAGCATGCTGCCTCCACTGTTTTTCCTGCCCCTTTTCGGCTTGTTCGGGCTCATAACCATCCAGTGTCTGCCAAGCAACGGTCTGATTGATGGTCAACAACCGAATCAGAACACGCGTCTCTGTGTCTTGAACTTTCTCGATTATATTTATGTTTTAAGCTTAAATGGGGGTAGTGGCAGGACCAAACTGCTACTCCGTTCTTTCCCTCGTTGCCCTGTCCTTTGTTTTATTAAAGAAAGCTTCTTGGAAGGAAAGGATCCTCTTCTCCCACTCCTTGGCCCTTCCCCCAGACACACACTTTAAGCTGCAAAAAAGTTAGGAGGTAAAGAAGCACAGCCATCCTGCCTACTTTTTGACATTTAGATAAGTCAGGGTTCCCTTGTCCATTTTAAACATTGAAAGGGTCAAGTTTTAACCCTTTCCTGTTTTACTAAAAAGGGAGCATTTTTTGTCACCTTGGCACATCATTTCTTTTCTCATCATCTGGAGAGGACTCTGAGCTAAGGGTTTTACACACACTTGGTGATTTATCATAATTCCCATGAAGAATACAGGTTCTTTCTATGTTTCCAGTTATGGGAATGGCATATGAAAATTCTTCTTGTCCTAGACAGTTGTAAAATATTTAATTCTGTTTTTCCAAGAACTCTTTGAAGCCCTCTAGGATATAAAATTATAATCTCCTAAAGAGCCTGGGGATCCCTGGTCGTGTAGTTGTTACAAACTGGACTGCTAACCTCAAGGTCTGAGTTTCGAAACCACCAGCCACTCTGCGGGAGCAATATGAGGCTCTCCACTCTGGTAAATAGTTACCATCTCAGAAACCCCCAGAGACAGTTCAGTCCTGTCCTATGGGGTCCCTATGAATTGAACTGACACAACGGCAGTGAGTGTGAGGACGTTGTTTTCTGAAGCAGCCTGGGTGGTGTTGGGGGTTAGCCTGGGGCTACTAACCAGGACAGCAGTTCGTGTCTAACAGCTACTCCGAGGAAGAAAGGTGACTCCTTCTACTTCTGTCAGTCTCAACACCCACTGGGGCCGTTCTTTCCTGTCTGGTCATACTGTCACTGTGAGTCGGCTGATTCAAGGGCCATGAGTTGAGAAGCTAGAGTAGAGGAATGGGAAGGACACGGTGTTTGGATGCTGAAAATCTCTATTCCAATACGCATCCTGCCACTCATCAATTTTGTAAATGTACACAAAGTCCTCGATATATGCATACTCCTTTTTTTGGTCTTTTTTGAGAAAAAGGCTTTGCCCAACTAGTGTGTAGGGTTCAGTGACACTAAAATGGGTAATGTATTATTAACTAAGTTCTAAATTACAAAGAGCTAGACAAAAGTAGATGGTGGTGTCATTATCCCGACACCAGCATTTCAGGGTATAAGGTAGTCCTCACTGTACAAGCCTTGCAAGAGCAATCTTCAGGGACTTCTGTGCCATGCTCGTGCTTGCAAGACCGCAGCTTGCTCTATATCATCTCATCCAGTGACCATCTTGAGTCCACCTAGTCTCAGAGTGGTCTCTGTAGTCAGAATAGCATCCCCAACACACCAAGCTGTAATAGAGGACTGTCCTGAGTACATAAGAACTCAGCAGTGATCAGGTACTCTGCACTCAGCTAAACATTGGAGAGACAAGGGCAAGGAAGCCAAAGAAAGTCAAAAACATGCCAGTTACCTTCAAGGGACATCTGTAGGAACTGAGGGAGAAAAAAATATGTGAAGCCAAGAAATATATGGCAAAACATATAAGCATGTGTGGGGTGTGACTCATTAGACCCAGCAGAAATGAATGGAGAGACCATTATTGGGTGAGGTCAATAAGCATGAAGGTCTTTTTCACTTTTCTTCATCGTAGAAGCCCAAGAATTTTTAATTTGGAGCTAGAATCTTCGGGAGGGGCAACTGCTCAAGTATCTCTCTCTCTTCCTAAATTTACATTTTCATGTAGCCATATCTTACTGTACCTCCACTACATTATTCCCCCAGGGTACCCTGCTCCTGCCCAAAGGAACTTACAAATAACTCACCCTTTGCAAATTCAATCAAAAACCCTTTCACTGCTTATGGCAGGGAGGAAAAATTAAGCTCTGGGTTTTCCAGTTCTCTTCTACTATGTATCCATTTGAGACACTCACACTTAGATCAAAGGGTTGGCAGACTGGTCAAGTACCCCTCTAGAGTCTTTACGGCAGTGTACAGACAAAGGCCGTTTATGGAGAGCCTGTGAATCTCCAAAAGCATCCTCCACGTTAGGGTCAAAAAGATGATAAGATCACAGGAGTTGTAGGAGCGTCAATGTAATGCTCAGTGCCTGCTTCAAGTAACAACGCTGATGAGTTTTTTAGAATATAATTATTATGAGCATATTAATACAGTTATTATAAATTAAACTCATGTTAAACTGAATACAGGTTATATAAGAAAGAAGAATAAAACAACGCAAACCCCCAGAGTTCCCTTCAGTGTAAGCATCCTCCTGCCAATCAATATGCAAAGTGCATTGAGAGACAGAAGACTAAATATTCTCTTTTTTTAAAAAATCATTTTATTGGGGGCCTCACAATTCTTATCACAATCCACACATCCATCCATTGTGTCAAGTACATTTGTACACCCACTGCCATCATCATTACGAAAACACTTGCCTTCCACTTGAGCCCCTGGTATCAGCTCCTCATTACCCCGACCCTCATGAACCCTCGATAATTTATTACTATTTTGTCATACCTTACACTGTCCAACATCTCCCTTCACCCACTTTTCTCAAAGACTAAATATTTTCAACAGAACTGGGACAAATTCATTTCTTGTGATACCTTTATGTCTTTTTGAAGCCTAGTCATAAGCAGTAAAATATTTGAAAGTTTGGTTTTGCCTTTACGTTTGGCTGACATACCACACTACCACTTGGTCAAGAGTGAAACATCTAAGATGCCCAGGAGATGATCAGCTGGGTCTGCTTAATAGACTTGGTAATTCTGCATCGAGGAAATGTTTCATTTCCTAGTCCCTGAAGAATTCAAATTTCAGGCCTCAATGTAGAACTTAGAAAACTGTCCTGGTTCCAATAAGTTATCATAGCATACATGTGTGTGTGCATGTAGTGAGTGAATGTTTACCAATTACCATAAAATATCACCCTATAAATGTGTATTATGTTTCTCATATGACCTAGGACTTATGGCTCAGAATGCTTACTTACTAAAGTGTATTTATCTACTAAGTGGTAGACTTATAATTCTATTCCAGAGATATCTGACGCCAAAGGTGCTCTTTGTCATTGCTTATTAACTCTGGAAACTACCCCACACCCATAATTCCTATTTCAGAAGAGAAAGTGTCTCCACTCTTTCTACTTTGATAACTCCCACTGCACTTTGTCCCATCTCCTCACACCTTCTTCAAGACAGAATTCTGTCAGTGGACTCCTTTTTCTCCTTTAGCTTCATCCTCTCTAACTCTATCATAAAACAGCTTTTAAGGTTTCTCTCCATGGCTAATCTCCCATAATCTCTTTTTCCCATCCACGTCTTTACCTCTGAGTAATCTCACCCTCTTCACTCAGGATATCATCCCCAGCATACCATTAACATACATTGCTAAGGACATATTAAAATAAAAATCATGTGATATACATCAAAATACTTCATTGAGAGAATAAAACGAGAGTTCACAGGCTGGGATAGAAGCTTTAACAATGGCACAATGGACAAGGGACTAATTATTAAAACCTATAGAATTCTACAATGCCCTAATAGGAAAAAAAAATAGTCTAATTAAAAAGTGGACAAAAGACATAAACAGTTCACCAAAAGTGACTGTCAACTGGCTAACAAACATGAAAAAATGCTCATGAGCACTAGCCATTGGGAGATGCAACTCAAAATAGCAATAAAATATCACCTTACACCTGCAACAATAGCCCAATTTAAAAAGACAAAGAAGAAAGAAAAGAAACAGAAACAAAGAAATGCTGGTGAGGGTGCAGAGAGATTGGAACTCACACTGCTGGTGGGCTTATTAACATGGACAACCATTGTGGAAAGTGATATGACCACCTAAAGTAACTAGGAATATGTGACCCATAAATACCAATAGCCCAAAGAAGTCAGAGACAGAAAACAAGCAAGCTTTATGCTCACTCATGTTCACTGCACCACAGTTTATAATAGCAAGAAGCTGGAAACAGGCCAAATGCCCATCAGTCAAAGAATGGATAAAGAGATTCTGGTACATACACACAATGGTATTCGATACATCCCTAAAAAAATAGTGATGAAAACACGAAACACCTTGTGGCATGAATGGACCTAGAAACCATTATGCTGAGAGTAGTTAGTCAATCACAAAAGGACAACTATTGTGTGAGACCACTACTATAAGAAAAAACACCAAGACAAAGGCAGGCTTCTGTTCTCATACAGTCTTCTAATCTAGTATCCCAAGCAACAAGTGGTGTGACTGCTGCGTGCCCATGAACTACGAATCACCCCCTTATTTGCACATCTTAGAAACACGGCATCCGGGATGGCATTACTTCAGCTGGGGTCAGTTTCTTACATGATGAGGAGAAGGAGAAGACAAGTCAGTTCTTGACATATTAACATGATTCTAAGGCAGTGGTTCTCAACCTAAGGGTCTCAACCTTTGGGAGTCGGGTGACCCTTTCACAGGGGTCGCCTAAGACCATTGGAAAACACATAAATATTTCCTAATATAAAATTACATATTGTTTTGTGATTAATCACTATTCTTTAATGTTTAATTATGTTCAATTTGTAACAATGATATCAGATATTTACATTATGATTCATAGCAGTAGCAAAATTACAGTTATGAAGTAGCAATGAAAATAATTTTATGGTTGGGGGGTCACCACAACATGAGGAATTGTATTAAAGGGTTGTGGTATTA